CTCATTTAATTTCTACAGCTACATTAGATACAGCTACATCCAAAATTTCTACAAACTAATTTCTACAGTAAAATTTCTACAGTTACAGTCCAACCAATCGCCCCCAAAAATCTCATTAAAAAGTGTCCTTTTCGTATATCTATTATATTAAAAGAGAAGTCATGACTCATTTCATGTGTGATTTTTTTCATTTGGACCATTAGCAAAAAAAAAATTATTAAATATATTTCATTTCTTTGTAACCACTTCAATCATAATATCTTTTGATATCTTTCTATTTTAAATATATATTAATTCTTTTTAACAAATATGTTGAAAAGATTTTAGCAAGATCTTAACTTTAAAAACATTATATAAATATTTTACTAATTAATAACTTGTATAATTTCGAATTAGTAATGAAAATAATTATACATTAATATATATATATATATATATAATGAAAACAAAATGTTATTCTTTTTATCTATTGCATAATCATAATCTATCATATTAAATGAAAATTACTATAATAAAGTGAATGTTATAAAATTATATTAAATTAATAAATTAATCAATTTTATTTTCAAAAATAGAAAATATTAATTTTAAAAATATAAAATATATTGGCAGAACGGATTAAGATTAGTAACTATAAATAAATATATAAAATTAACATATCTTAAACTTTTATAATATCATATTATCTATATAAACATAAAAAGTTTGCTAAACGGTAATCTAGCTTTGAAACTTAGATAATAATTTAGTATAAATTAAATATAAAGTAATTTTCAAATATGATTTTCATGCATATATTAATATTAATAATTAAATATAAATTCAATAAGATAAGTATATAAAAAGAAACTATTGAAACAACTGATATTAACATACAAGCTATAAAATTATTGTGTTTGTAATAATTATACAAACATTTAAACATATGACTAACGTTATTAATGATATAAAACTAATATATATGTATATAAATATGAAAACAAATCTCGCGCGGTTGCGCGGGTTAAAATCTAGTAAGTGTTTAAAATAAATTAAAAATGTAGAAAGTGTCTTCTTAATTAACTCAAAATATCAAACGGTGGGTAAGGATATATTAGCAGACAAACTAGTTTTTCGTTAAATCCAAAATATATAAATATCAGAATATAGGGTTTATATTAATTAGTATTGATTTAGCCACCTAGATGACCAAGAAAATATCTTAAAAGTGTTATTACGATGGGCTTCATGGTGGACACGCAAAGAGAAGGTGATGAGCATCAATGGAGTTGTATAAGAAATTTGGTGCGAAGGAAACAAGTAGACTCTTCAATTGGGAAAGCCCAGTCTCATCACAACCAGCAACTGGCCAAAGCCTTGACGTTTCCTCACTTGATTGCAATTGGTATTCCAATCTTCTCCTGCTTTTAGGAATCTGGTTTTCTTTTTCCCAAGTTGATCATGAATTTCTTATTGTATCTGTGATATCTGGATTTATTTATTGTTGTTGTAAAAAGTTTGAAGCTCTTTTTTCTGTATAATGAAATATTTAAAAATTTGGTTATGTTTCATCACTAAACCTTAAGAGTTTTGGTGATAATAGGTGTTGGATCAACAATTGGAGCAGGGGTTTATATACTTGTGGGAACAGTGGCGAGAGAGCATTCAGGACCTGCTCTCGCCTTTTCTTTCCTTATAGCTGGAGTTTCCGCTGCACTTTCCGCCTTTTGCTATGCAGAACTCTCTAGTCGTTTCCCCTCAGCTGGGAGTGCCTATCACTATTCTTACATTTGCATTGGTGAAGGGTAACTTTGCTTATTCTGTTGTTTTGTTTTGGAGCTTTTTGATGTTTTGCTTATGGGATGTTGGGTTTCTGCAGTGTTGCGTGGTTGATTGGCTGGGCATTGATTCTGGAATACACTATTGGTGGTTCAACGGTTGCTCGTGGCATATCTCCAAATCTTGTATTTTGCTCTTTGGCTAAAATATCTTCTTTTCCTTGCATTACACGAGGAGGATCTGTATGAGTTGGTTTCCTCAGCTCATCATCATATTTTTTCTTACAGGCAATGATTTTCGGTGGTGAAGATTGCCTGCCTGCAATATTAGCTCGTCATCAGGTCCCAGGACTTGATATTGTTGTAGACCCATGTGCTGCTGTACTAGTCTTCATTGTAACAGGGCTCTTATGCATCGGAGTAAAGGAGGTCTATAAACTTTAAAATGATCTCGATCACATGTTTGGAAGCGTGTACTTAAAAGTGAAATACCTCTTGTATGCAGAGTACGTTTGCTCAGGGAATTATAACAACAGTAAATGTCTTTGTCATGATATTTGTCATCGTAGCTGGTAGCTACCTGTGCTTCAAGACAGGCTGGGCTGGTTATCAACTTCCATCAGGGTAAATTTAGCATTCATTATTCACTATTATTTGGTAGATGTTATATGAAACATATGTATATTTCTGTCTTTCCTAGGTATTTTCCATACGGTGTTGATGGAATGCTTGCTGGATCTGCTACAGTCTTCTTTGCTTATATAGGGTTTGATTCAGTTGCAAGTATGGCAGAAGAGGTCAGTGGTAGTATCATCTGTTTTAAGGCGCTTGTTAAGCTGTGGTCTTAGGCTGCTAAGTGCATTGCTCGTTTTTTTTAATGGCAGGTGAAAAATCCGCAGCGGGATTTACCGCTCGGTATTGGACTTTCACTCCTGCTTTGTTGTTTGTTATACATGATGGTGTCTGTAGTTATTGTTGGTTTGGTGCCTTACTATGCGATGGACCCTGACACACCAATATCCTCTGCTTTTGCTAGCCATGGAATTCAATGGGCTGCGTAAGTCTTATCATTTAGTTAAGATGCAATACTGTTTTATCGGTGACTTGTTCAAGAATTCCATCTCTTCTTTTTTACCTCTCTGTTTTTTTTTCGTAGATATTTGATAACATTAGGCGCTGTCATGGCTCTCTGTTCTGCTCTTATGGGCTCAATTCTTCCTCAGGTAAACTACAAAGAGTCAGTGTCTGATCTGTGAAATTAAGGGAATTAACAATGAAATGTTCGAGTTTGTAGACCACCTTAATCCTCAAAAGAATCTTTTTCCATTTTTCCAGCCGCGGATTCTGATGGCAATGGCTAGGGATGGTCTGTTGCCTTCATTTTTCTCAGACGTGAATCAACGCACGCAGGTTCCTGTTAAAGGGACCATTACAACAGGTTTTTGTGCGGCAGTCTTAGCTTTCTTTATGGATGTTTCACAACTTGCAGGAATGGTATATTATGATTCGCTAAACTAAGCCAGTTTTGCCTGTAACTGGTATTTGACAAACTCAGAGTTGGTGTAGGTGAGTGTTGGGACACTGGTTGCGTTTACAATGGTTGCAGTATCTGTGTTAATACTCCGATATGTACCTCCTGACGAGGTAGTGATAAAATTGGAAGTAGTAAACATCTTATTGAATTTGATTTCATCAGTAGAAGAGACCTGATTAAAGAGAGGCGTCCCCTTCCAGGTACCTCTTCCCTCATCTCTGCAAGAGGGGATTTGTTCTGTTCCGTTTCTACGCGGTGAAGAGAACTCGTCCAGTCACGTCGGCACTTCCAGTAGTAGCAAAAAACCTTTAATTTGCGAACCTGATGGTTCAACAGTAGAGAAGAAAGGAGCTCGCTGGGGTTGTAAGTTACTATTCATTCTTGTAGAACTTTTTCTCACTGGTGCATGAACTTTATACATTAGCTGATCGTCTTCGGTACAAGTAAAACTTTCACATGTGTTATCGATTCTGTAGGGGTTCTCAGTAAAGTAAACAGAAGGAAGTTTGCTGGTTGGAGTATTACCTTCCTTTGTATTGGGAACTTCCTGATAAGCTATGCCGCTTCAAGCTTGCTCTTGCCAGGGTTAGTTCATCAAAAATAGTATATGTACCTGAGGCTATATATATGTCTTCTACTGAGAATATTAAGTTCCCTTTTATCCAGGCTCCTCCGGTATTCTCTCTGCGGCGTTGGTGGATTGCTACTTCTTTTCGGTTTGATTGTGCTTAGTTGCATCGACCAGGATGATGCCAGACACAGTTTTGGTCATTCTGGAGGTACTGATTCTTCTTCTTTTTACCAAAAGCGTCAGAGCCTGATGTGTAATATAAACTCCTCTTCATTTTACAGGTTTCATTTGCCCTCTTGTTCCACTTCTGCCTATTCTCTGCATTCTTATCAACATGTATCTGTTGGTAAACCTTGGGTGAGTAGGGCTCATGTCTCATGACAGCAGATTTATACATAGTACTAACACCAATGAGTTTACTTAATATAATGACATTTTCTTCTTGCTAATGTTTTAGAGCTGGGACATGGGCTCGTGTATCGGTGTGGCTGTTCATCGGAGTGCTTGTTTACCTTTTCTATGGGAGAAGACGCAGCTCTCTAGCGAATGCAGTTTACGTCACCACTGCTCATGCCAACGAGATTGGTCGCAATTCTGGATATTCTTTGGCTTAATTGAAGCCATCAGTGGGGTGACTTCGAGCCTCATTCTGTAAAATATACAAATACAATCTGTAACATTGTATTGTTTAAGATTGGTGTATATAGTCATGTTGTGATTAAAATCTCAGATGTCATTATATTGGTGTATGTAGTCATGGTATATAAGTACAGACTATCCATGCAATGTAAACTAAACAGGATCAGTTGATATAATTAATGTACAGACAAATCCAAGATACATAAAACATAACAAAAACAATTGAACAGAAAGCTTCCAAGTAGATGCATCAACCCTTTTGAAATGTCGGAAGTGTTGGAGCTTCGTATAACTCAACACGACAGTCGATATCCAGAGGAGTCATTTCTTAAAGCACCTAAAGATATACGACAAGAAACCCCATCAGTCTTTGATTGTACAGAAACTAATGAGTTTCTTGGTTGCAGAAATGTTATAACTAAGGTACTTTATGAAAGAGAGCTTGAGTTTGTGGTACCCTAGGTGAGTCCCTATAAGGAAAAAAAATAGCTTGAATTATTCAATTCTTCGCCTTCTTCTTTGGCGGTCGTTTCTTTCTAGACTTGTTAAATCCGCCTCCCGTCTCCTGTGGTACAAAATATAGTTCTATGAGTTAGTTCACAGACAAGGTGTTGCATAACACCATCAGATATTACAAACCAGCTTCAGTAGATGCTAACCTTTTTGTAGCATCTATATGCACTTTGACCTGAGAACTCCTGTCCGCTTTTAGAGATATACACCTACAAGAGCAAGAACAAAATCAGATATTACAAAGTTTCAGACGTCTCTTGTCCTCTCAGTGTTCTGTAACATATACATACTCTACTTCCCATGCTTAAAAAACGTGTGTGTGTGTGTGTGTGTGTGTGTTTAACAGCTCAATCACAGTCACATTCACAGTTCTATGTAATTTTCTTTAGTTGTGGAAAGCGAAACAGACCTTCCTTCCTTCTGAGGATGTGAACCAGTGACCTGGATTACCAGCGTTAGCTGATACACCTCTTCTGCTAGCATCCTTTGGAACTGCAGATCTCGCTTTGGAGCTCTCTTGGCCCTTCGAGACCTTTGACTTTGTCTGCCCTCTGCTGCTTTTACTGCTAGAAACTCCGGTTTTAGAACTCCCGTTGCTGCCAAATTGGTTCCTACAATGGCATTGGGAAATATATATCAATGCCCTGGAAACGGAGGACTGTAAGTATAAAAAGGAAAAGGAAATAGAAATGTAACGCACATATAATCAATAAGGCACTCCTCTCGCCGGTTCTCTCTATCATTGAAAATCCCCAGAGGCAAGAAATTTGGTAACCGCTTCCGGGCTAAATTCTGGATCCTTGGATCACTGTGCATGAAGAAACGATGAGATGGAGGGGTAGGGTTGGAAGAATCCAAGAAATGCCCATTTTTCTGAAACAATCCACTATTGCTACTACTTGCCACAGCACTGCTTTGTTTCTGAGGTGTGTTTTTCTTGATCGAGCTAAAGTAGTCCTGACAAACATCATCCAGAGCTGGTGTCTGAATCTTGGAAACTGCCGCTGGGGGAAAATCTTTCCACAGATCTCTAGGTTCCTTTCTCTTTTGTTTACTGGCAACAGGTGGTTGAACCTTTGAGCATGAAGCATTTGTTTTTCTTCTGGTGGATGGGTGGTCATCTTCAGAATCTGAATCTAGTAGCTGCAACCTTCGTGGAGGACTACGAATTGGGATAGATCCAGATTCCTTTCTGTTTAAGGATGAATCGTTTGTATTAGTTACTCGGCTAAAATCTTTGCTGCGGGTGGATGGCTGGCCGTCTTCAGAATCAGAATCCAGTAGCTGGAACCTTCGTTGAGCTGGAGTTTGAGTCTTGGAAACTCCCACCGGAGGAAAATATTTCAACAGATCTCCAGCACATGGAAGAGATCCAGGTTCCATTATCTTTTTGGATAAATCATTAGATTCAGTTACTCGGATGCGTTTGGATGGGTGGTCATCTTCGGAATCAGAGTCCAGAAGCTGGAACCTTCGCAGAGGACTACTATTAGAGCTCTGAAACAGTGGTGCAACAGAAGAAATCCCAGAGCCAGTAGATGGTGGAACATCATCCAAGCGTATCCTTTTTACCGGGCTCCGAGAGATAGAAGAAGGTTGGTTAGTAAAAACCCCAGAAGCACGGAGTGAGACTCTTGAACTGCAACTAGAGAAATGACTTTTTGTCGATGCAGGTGCATCTACATGTAAGCAAGTAGTAAATTAAGATGATAGCAACGAAGGAAGTATGGAAGACTTGAGAAATATTACAAGGAGTAGAGTTGAGAGAGTTTTGTTAAAGAAACAAGTTTGATTTATCAGCTGACCCTGAAATCTCCAAACCTACTCTACCTAAAGTTTACTAATCATAACACATGATCGTCAACAATCATATCATGTATACATCATGTATCAAATAATATCTTCTATCACAGAGATCCATTCTAAGACTAATAAGAATCAACCTTAATTTATGAGCATCATCAGCTCTATAAAACTCAATAGTTTCTAGATACTCTTTGAATATCAACGTATCGCTGATCCAAGAAGCCCAAACGCAATGAAATGAAAAGTTGGAACAAAAACCCAAAGAGTGATAGAAAAAGGGTTCAGTACTTGATCAGAGACGTGACTGTGCTCCTCGAATTCGATTCCAGCATAACAGGTAAAAAGTGGAATCGTAAGTTACCTTCTGGAGAAGAGAACTCCTCGATGTCGTCGTCATCCTCCGTGGCATCATCTTCCCCAGAACGCTCGTTCATATCATTTACTCCGCGTCGCAACCGCTTCAGAGCCGGGCTTGAACTACCAGGTCCAACCTCCAGATCCGAATCTGAGACCGTAAGTCCCGGCTCAGGCTCAGGCTCAGGCTCATCGTCTCCGGGCTTGGGATCCGATGTCCCATCAAGGTCAAACCCTAGCGAAAACGAGGGCGCTTCAATCGAATCCATGACAAGAAATTAGGGTTTCTTTTCGACAAGAAAGAGGAAGAGACTTTTATGTGCCAAAGAAGCTTCAAATTGAGACTTTTCCCCCGCCTCGCGCTCGCGGGACAATCTTCGATTTCAAACAAATTTCAAGGTGGTTTTTGATTTGGAAAAAAATTTGTCAGCTACACGCGTGTCAAGAACTACACGAAATATATGTTAATACATGCCACATATACGAAATAAATGATATTATGGTGGCAACATCACAATCGGATTTAATTGTTCTTAAGCTAAATTAATAGGGTCAATCCGTAATTTATGAAACTTAATAAACTTAATTGATTTTAATTATTAAAATTAATAAACATAATATTTTTAAAAACTTAATAAAATTAATAAACTTAATATTTTTTGTTAAAGTCAATAAATTTATTAAACTTAATAAAATGGGCAATTCTCTATTATAGCCCTTTTGAAGTTTTTGTCACCAAAATAGCATCAGAAGGGAAAAGTCACAAAAATAACTTTCATTAATGGGTAGAATGTCTCTAATGCCCTCCCTAGATAAAACAACTAACAAAAAAAAAACTCGGCTTATGTTATCTCTCTCGTCGTCTCTCTCTCACGGTATCCTACATCTCTCTCAGAGAACCACCGCGCTCTCTCATCTCCATATCTCTCGATCTCCATCTCTCTCTCTGTTTCTTATCTGAGTAAAAATCAGAGAAACAACAGCAATGGATGCCAAAGAAGCTTCTGCCACCGATTTGAAGCGACCAAGAGAAGACGATGATACCGCCGCTGCCGCTTCCATGGATAACGGAGAGGAGACAAAGGAGCCGGCTTGTTTCTCCTCTGTTATTCCCGGGTTGTTCTCTGAGTTGAGTCCCATGTGGCCAGGTCAATTATCGTTGTTGTTTCATTATAAAACAAGCTCCTTTATAATTAAAAAGCTGATTATTTTTTCAATGATTTGTGGATGCAGGAGAAGCACACTCTTTGAAGGTTGAGAAAGTTTTGTTTCAAGGGAAATCAGATTACCAAGATGTCATTGTTTTCCAGGTAATTCACATCAACAACCAAAAAGCAATGACCTTTGCTCTGTTTTTATATGTATGAATTTTATTTTTATTTTACTTATGAACTCTTTTTGTTTTTTTTAGTCTGCGACATATGGGAAAGTTTTAGTTTTTGATGGAGTTATGTTTACAGCGTTTGGCTCTTAAACGGTTGATTGATGTAAGTATGGGAGTCATAGCACCTTTATCAGAGCAACTCACAAAGCCATTGCCCAATGCAATGGTTCTTGTCAACCTCAAGGAACTTTTTGGTGGTGCTTACATGTTTAGAATCATCTGTTAGTATTATCATAAGTGTACTGTGGTTGAGCCTAGTCATGGAGTTGCTTTGGCGAATTATGGTAAATTGGTGATGAAGCTTCACAAGGATGAAGCTAAAGCATTAAGCTACTTTGAACGCGCTGTTCAAGCAACTCCTGAGGATAGGTTCTGTTTGAACATTCTTCATCTTGGTGAAAATAATTGGTTATTTACTCAAAACATGAGTGTGTGTATGTGTTTTTCTTCTTCTTTGTTTAGCAATGTTATTGGGGCATATGCTAGTCTCCTCTGGGAGATAAATGATGAGGACGACGGTGAGGTTGATGAGTCTTTCGGAGACAGAACTCAGCAAGGAAAAGAAGACTTTCAGGTATCTATCTCCACCTTTTATATTAGCCTTCACATTCATTCTTGTAGACATGTTAGCTCAAAGTAGTAGGTTTTATAGGGATTTGAGTTTGTGGTCACTCATAGGCTTTTCAGTTTGAAGGCATTAATGTCGAGTTTTGATTTTGTACAGCCTGAGGGAGGGGGAAAACGCAGCTCAAGGTTGTCTGAAACGGTAGATGGAGAAACGCTGTGCAGATATGCGAAGGCGTTTTGGAGTATTAATGGTGACAAGGAGAAGGCCTTGTTCTATTTCGAGAAGGCCGTTGAAGCCTCTCCAAATGACAGGTAACAGTTACAAGTATGAATTAAATCTCTCTTTACACAAACTCTTACTGAAAATGTGACCATCTTCTTCTTTGTGTTTGGCCATCAGCATTATACTTGGAGAGTACGCTCGATTCCTATGGGAAATCGAAGAATGATGATAAAGATATCTCTAAAGTCTCCACGTCCATAAGATCTCCTTTGTAAAGAAAAAGCTATTGTTATATTAGCTTTATGCTAATGCAGCTTCACTCATTTGCTTTAGTGTCTTGTGTATTCTCAGAATCCTTTAATATCTCTTGCGTGTTCAAACGTTTTTTGAAGAATAAACCTAATCAATGTAATGTAAATGCTTGGACCTACTTTATCTCACATAGTTTTAATGAACTAGACTAGTAGACTATTCATCTTTCTTAAGTAGTCAATTTAAGTATAAAGAATGGAAACTATAGTTATGAACCTTAAGGTACTGTGTAGCTGGCCAGATGAAATAGTTAGTGTAACTGTTGAGAATAAACAAAATCATTTTGTGCACATATTTTTTGGAAAGTATTTTTTGAACATTTGAATGGTCCGTGCATCAACCACAAAACCTTTTACCCTCCAAGAATCTGAACTAGCAAGAACAAAATAAAACATAACAATGTTTAGATGATTAGAATCATCTGTCAGTATCGAACACATAAATATATTTAAACTTTAATTGTATATACATGTTTTCTAGAAAAACTTGGAATGCATTTGGCAATTTATGGATGGGTTTCCAGAAAATAATTCTGCTTCCTAGGGATATCAAACTCGTGGGACATGTGACTTTTATGTAAGAGTAGTGTTTTAGCTGTTAGGATGAGGAGAATCATCTGTTAGTATCGAACACATAAATATATTTAAACCTTAACTATATAAACAAGTTTTCTAAAAAACTTGGAAGGCATTTGACAATTTCTGGATGGGCTTCCAAAAATAATTCTGAAATTGGGAAAGAATTTAGCGTGTTCAGGATGTGCTTTGGCTCGATCCACAATGAACTTTGCTCATGCAATAGCTTATTTCTCGCTTTCTTCTTCTCTTCCCTTTTTAGTCCCGTTATTCTCCAGAACTCCAGCTTTTCCGTCCTTTCTTTCATCTGCAATTTTTAAACATGAAAACCGGTCTATACTTTTTAAACAGTTCTTACTTCTTATTATTGGGTGTATACATTTACCAAAGTACATATCAACTATTCATGATAGCATATAAAAATATTTAGGATAAACTTTCAGAAAACTTGAGGAAATGTGCAAGTAGTTAAATCTTAACCATGGAGATGAGCGTAACCATTAACCTATGTTTCTATCAAGTGAAAAGCATTAACATATTTTTTTTCCTCTCTCTTTGTATATTTAACTAATTTTGGAAGGATTTGTGTAGTTTCAGGAACGCTTTCCATAAAATTTGATGTTAATAAATTTGAATTTTTTTATGCTTAGGGTTTTATTGTTTGGCTTACGCATGTTGATATCTTTGGTAGACTCATGAATTTTCTTATGACATTGTTAGTTTCTTGTTTGTGCTTGTGAAACTGTGTATTTTTTTTTAAATTTCTGGAAGGATTTATGTGGTTTCAGGAAAGCTTTCCATAAAATCCAATGAATCCAATGTTAACAAATTTAAAAAATCTTTTGATTGGTTACTTGTTTGACTTACGCATACTGATGTTTCTGGTAGGATCATGAATTTTCTTATGAAATTTCTGGACATTGCTTGTGCCTCTGAAATTGTGTGTTTTAGTAATATCTTTCTAAAAGTTTATAATGTATTTCTAAAAGTTTATAATGTCTTTCTCAATCTTTAATAATGTCTTTTTAAATCAATATAATTTTTTTTAGAAAAATTTCAGGAAAGCCTTTCCTAAGAATTTAGAAAAGCTTCATAAATTCTTTTTTGATCAACTAGTAATTAACATACAATTTAGGATGGTCTTCCTAAATTCGTGTGAATCTTTCCTAAGAATTCAAGAAAGCTTCATATATTCTAAAACTTAACATTTCTATATATCTACAAAATACTTATACACATGTTAGTAAGATCTTTCTAAAAGTTTATAATGTATTTCTCAATCTTTAAGAATGTGTTTTTAAAACAATATAAACTCTTTAAAAATTTCAGGAAAACCTTTCCAAATAATTTAGAAAGGCTTCCTGAAGATTAATATATTATCTGGAAGCTCATCCTGAACACGTTCATGGCTTTCCAAATTTTATAATACATTATCTTCAATCCGGAAACTCATCCTGAACATGCTCAATGCTTTCCAAATTTTAGAATACATTATCTTGAAGATTAATATACTAAAATCTAAACCCTAAAACATCAACACTAAACCCTAAACCCTAAACCTTAAAATTTAAAGTCTAAACCCTAAAAAATTTACCTTAAATCCTAAAACCTAAACCTTCAACCCTAAACTCTAAACTCTAAACCCTAAACCTAAACCCTAAAAAAATAAACCCTACACCCAAACCCCTAAAACATGAACTTTAAGCCATAAACCCTAAAACATCAACTCTAAACCTAAACTCTAAACCTTAAACCTTAAACCTTAAACATTAAAGTCTATCCTGAAGATTAATATTTATCTGGAAACCCATCCTGAACACGCTTATGGCTTTCCAAATTTTCTAATACATAATCTTCAGTCCAGAAACTCATTCTGAATACGATCAAGGCTTTCCAAATTTTAGAATACATTATCCTGAAGATTAAATTGGTTCAATGCTACTACTTATCTCTTATCATTTTTGTGATTTTTTAATGGGGTTTCAAGACTTACCTTTGGTTAGAATTCTGCAAGTCGCTTTGTGCTTTTTATTTGTCAGTTTAGTTCATCAGTCTTCTACGTTTGATGAAATTGATGGTTAATGTGTAACTCGGCTGAGAGCAACACATAATTAGAGACTAATTGTTAGAAATATAACAACAAACGTTTACTTGAAGAAATTTTTTTTGTTTAATGTTTAGGGACCAATTTGTTTAAAAACATCTGGTAAAAGCTAAAAACATAAATATATTAACCGTTAATTTTATATTATAAACACTGGAAACATCTGCATGATTCAATTTATTTGGAAGGTTTAGTGCATGATAAGGAATCCTATCCTGAATTGTATAAGAAAGAAGAAAATCTTACAAAAACAAACAAAATAAAGATTTTGAGTGCAATTGAGGAAAGTCTCGATTATACATGTCGTGGTTTAACCAAAATAAGAATTGTACACCATATTGTAAGAATCAAATGAAGTTGTCTAATTTTTAAAAATAAAATTACTTAGCTCATTTCTTCATCTTCAATTATAAAAATGAAGTTATTTATTTTACTTGTTTGGCTTACGCATTTGATATCTTTGGTAGGCTCGTGAATTTGCTTATAACATTGTTAATCTCTTGCTTGTGCTTATGCTTGTGAAACTTTGTAGTATTTTTAAAATTTCAGGAAGGATTTATGTAGTTTCAAGAAAGTTTTCCAGAAAATTCGATGTTAACAAACTTGATTTTTCTTTTTTTTTGGTGTTTTCTTGTTTGGCTTAGTCATGTTATTATCTTTGATAGGCTCGTGAATTTTCTTATGAAATTGTTTGTCTCTTATTTGTGGTTATACTTGTGCTTGTGAAACTGTGTAGTGTTTTTAAAATTTCAGGAAGAATTTATGTAGTTTCAGGAAAACTTTCCAAAATATTTGATAATAACAAATTTGACGCTTTTTTTGCTTTGTGTCTTCTTGTTTTATTTACACCTGTCGATATCTTTGGTAAGATTTTTCTAAAAGTTTATAGTGTATTTCTTAATCTTTAAGAATGTCTTTTGGTTATGCATTCTTTAGAAAAATAGTAATCTATGCATTCTTTTGGTTATGGAAGTTGTTTTTAGCTCATCGGTTTTCAGTGTTGTTCTATTCATGTTATTTTTGCCTACAACTATATGGCAATGCAAAAATGACAATAAGAATATTCATGTAACATTCCACGTTTATGCATAAAGCCAGAAACAAGAAAAGCCATAAGTAGTACCACAAACAGTTACAAATGTCTAAAAATATAAGAGGAAATGTCAAACAGGCTAACGACCAACAAAATGAATCCACGCAGCCCAGATTTTCTATTCAACCCTCAAATATCTTACTTTGTACCAAACATCACAATTCAGAAAGCTACTAGCTGCAGCTCTTCTTTGTACCTATAAAAGAGGCTCGCACAAGACATTCTCTCTGTCGTAAGTACAGATGAGAAGAACACTGATAGCTGCAGCACCGACACCACCATTACTGACATAGCTTTAAGGGGGGAAGAAGACAACGAGGAGGAGGTCTTGTCATTGTGTTCTTCAGGAGTTTAAAAGCATAGAAAAAGTTGTTGAGCTTCTAATGTTTCTGATGTTTCTATCTATGGATCCTTCTTAATATGATGTTTAGAAGTAAGAACTCAAAAAAATATTAAGACACAAAGGTCATTTAGATTATGTTGTGCTGAAATGAGACAACATACATCTAGGAATATGCTTTCTCTAAACTTCCAAGTCTTTCTTCCCACAACGTTAGATTATATATAAGCCATTTGTCCATAGATAGGGTGTATAGCATCAAAAAAGGCATACACCTTTAGGATCTGCGTTCTTGACGATCCAGGGGTGTTGCATGATCTTCGTAAGTCTTGTGGAAGGATCCTTAACAAGAAGCTGCAGAGAATTACAAAGCAATGTATGTTAAGGATCTATAAACTAATCCAGCAAGAGAAAGTCCTTAAGCGTAATGCTTCAACTTAAGGTTTACCTGACTGATTAGATTTTTAGCTTCTGAAGAGACATTTGGTGTATCACGAAAACTCAGATCGATCTTAACGATTCTGCATACCATTATATATATAAGACAGCTTCATCAGGAGCTGAGGTTTTAAGTTTAAACAAAAGTCTAGTCTTGGCTTACCTCTTGAATGTATCTTTTTGACTCTCAGCTTCAAATGGAGGGCTACCATATAGAAACTCATAACACAGAATCCGTAAAGTCCAGTTATCAACATCATGATCATGATCTTTGTTTTCAACCATCTCAGGAGCTAAGTAATCTAGAGTCCCACACATTGTCTTCCTCTTGTTACTCGACTGCACTGACCACCCAAAATCAGCAATTTTCAACCTTCCCTGCAATGTAAAATCACAAAAACTAATAACAAAGCTCCACACTCTACAATGCAAACACTATAATCAACAATACACACATACCTCATGATCGAGCAAAAGGTTTTCAGGTTTAATATCTCTATGAATCACACAGTTTCCATGACAATAAGCCAATGCCTGACTAAGACTTGAAATGTACTGAATAATAATAATACACCAAAGTTAAGTCCAACGATTGAGTTTGATTTAGATCAGGTAACGTTGAAGGGACTCACAGTGGCGGCTTGTTGTTCGGAGAGATGACCATTCGCTTTGAGGAGACCGTAGAGCTCACCACCATGAGCGTACTCTAGAATCAAGAAGATACGGCGTCATCGAACCACCCGAAGAGACGGAGGATGTTGGGGTGTCTTAGGCTGGTTTGGATCGCCATCTCTCTACGAAGCTGGTGATGGAGTTTGTATTTCTCGATCTGTTCCTTGAATATCACTTTCAACGCCACCACGAAGTGACTCTAAATCACTCACACAGTTGAGACAGATGATGCGTTCTTGCGTCCGAGTTTTGTACTTTCCGCCGATGATGCGTTCCATGGGTAGCTCCAATCAAAGGAAAACCGAATCTGGGATCGTCGATTGAAGAGAGAGATGGCTGAGCTGAGATGTCTTCTATTTTTTTTTTAATTAGTCATAGAGAAAGGGCATAAGAGTAAATAATCCTTTAAATGAAACCTATTTTTGGGACTTTTAGTTTTGAATGCTAGTTTGGGAAGAAAAACTTGATTTGATGTTATTTGAGTCATTTTTTCTAATAAAATTATTAAACTTCATAAACTTAATAAACTTAACAAACTTAATAAATTATTAAACTTAATATACTTAACAAACTTAATAAACTTAATGATTTATTAAGTTTACTACATCTTATTAAGTTTAATAAATCTTATTAAGTTTATAAAGTTTATTAAGTTTTTAAAAATTATTATGTTTAATAAGCTAGAATCCTAAAACTAATAAACAAAATAATTTATTAAATTATTATGTTTATTAAGTTTGCGAAGTATATTAAGTTTAATAACTTATTAAGTTTATAAGTTATTAAGTTTGTTAAGTTTATTAAGTTTATGAAGTTTAATAATTTTATTAAGTTTAATAATTTATTAAGTTAAATAATTTTTTAAGTTTTTTTAAAAAAATATTATGTTTATTAATTTTATCAAATTTTTTTAAAATATTATGTTAATTAATTTTATCACATTTTTAAAAAATATTATGTTTATTAAATTTATTTTATTATTAATTTGAATAATTAAAATTAATTAATTTTCTTAAGTTTCATAAATTACGGATTGACTCCATTAACTTAATTTAAGATCAATTAAACTCGATTGTGATGTTGTCAACATAATATCATTTACTTCGTACATGTGGCATGTATTAACATATACTACGTGTAGTTCTTGACACATTTTTATACATTAGATAGTTTTCACCATATTAGTGTAAACTTCGTGTAGCTAAGAAACTTTTTTCCTTTTGATTTTTATTGATTCGTCCAAATACTTTTATAAATTATTACTAATTAACCTTATCGATGAGCCGTGAAAATAATCATAAATGGACCGTTTATTAGCATATATGCTGGCCCACCTATAAACCAAACCAGGCATGAATCCATGTACACTAAACCCAAACATCTAATCAGAACACGATCAATACTATCAATATAATTTATTTTTTTAGTAATCCCTTATATATTAAAAGAGAAGCATTTTGCATCAAATGTTTTCACACCATATTCTCACAATTTATTACCTTATTTACTACCTTCTCACAATATATTACCTTATTTACTTCAACAATTGTTTACCTTATTTACTTCAATTATAAAATACACGAGATACTTTAAAACTACAAAGTTCAATATCGCGTGAGACAAGTTCGGAGGCAAGTGAATTGGCTTGAGGGTTGATGTCAAAGTTCTGAAACGTCGTTATTTGGGAGGTGGGACGTACCTAAGATGATGGATGTGAAGGGCAACGTACCGGAGCCCATGAACACGATCTTGGTTTGGACATGGCTCGTGTGTAGCGTGAAGAGATTGAACTCAACCTTGCTAAGTTTGAGGTAGTTAGTGTACTGAGGGTAGATCTAAATGGTGAAGTGTGTTGTCTTCGAGAGATCCCAAGGCCGTATAGTAGTGGTGTTCTGAAAACTCTATATCTTCACTACGTAGGTTGGTGAGATTGGTTCTGTAGTTTTGGACTTTTGGGTACAAGTTTTTAACGTCGATATTTGTATCCATAGGCAAGGACGTGGACATAAGCTATTGAACAAATTGTCGACATATATATGTGAAAGTTTTAAGGCTCTTGAGATTGGAGATTTCGTTATACAAGTCGAGAATTTGCTTCTCAAAATGAGCCTTTTGGCTACCCATCTCGAGACTAGAAGGAGATTTGGGATTGTCTCAATACTCTTAAATGGTGTTCACAGTAATATACTTTCATCTTACGTGTGTCCATGTCGTGTGGATGACAAAAAAAACAGATATATGTTCTGTGAGTTATACGTATGAAAAAACGTATAGTGAGGGTAGATCTAAATGGTGAAGTGTGTTGTCTTCGAGAGATCCCAAGGCCGTATAGTAGTGGTGCTCTGAATGCTCTATATCTTCACTACGTAGGTTGGTGAGATTGGTTCTGATGTTTTGGACTTTTGGGCACAAGTTTTCAACGTCGATATTTGTATCCATAGGCAAGGACGTGGACATGAGCTATTGAAAAAATTGTCGACATATATATGTGAAAGGTTTAAGGCTCTTGAAATTGGAGATTTCGTTATACAAGTCGAGAATTTGCTTCTCGAAATGAGCCTTTTCGCAACCCATTTCGAGACCAAAAGGAGATTTGGGATTGTCTCAATACTCTTAATGGTGTTGACAGTAATATACTTTCATCTTACGTGTGTCCATGTCGTGTGGATGACAAAAAAAAACAGATATATGAGACAAAAGTTATACGTATTAAAAAATGTTTATCAACCGGAATAATGTTTTGTTCATGATCTTTAATTGGAGTATTACTTTTTTGTCTCTATCAACTTAACCAAAAAAACAATATTTATAATATAGATATATAATTGGACGATATTAAAACCCGAAACAACCAATCCAAAGCAAACTAATATGCAAATAAAACAGATATTATGTCTTCTTATCTTCAAAAATACAACAAATTTAATCATCTCACCCCACGCCTTGCGCGGGGTGTAGTCCTAGTATGCTATTATTTTGTTGCTTTTAAGATCTTCATAGAATGATAATCAGAAGCAGGTTTGAGGCTTGACCAAACCAGGTGCATCTCCAAGAACATTGACACACGAAAATTGTGCAGATTCATTAACATATCTCAGACTAATGTCCTTCATTCGAATACGTGTGCATGGAGCTTTAGCGCTGCAATCCAATTTCACCGCAATTTTTGTAGCTGATGTTCCTCTTATGCCTTGATATATCACATCGTTTATCCTCACTCCTGATTCCTATATCAATATTTCAAAATGTAATTAAGATGCTTAGAGCTATATTGCATCAATGTATGTTGTGTCTTTAATTGATATGTATTGATTATAAGTTATGATCAGAGTGTAGTGACTTAACATTTCATCTTTTTCTATCTATAGTGATTAAAAGTAATAATAGTAGATAATACTCAAAGTAATTTTATACTGTTACTCTTAGTTTAAATGATTTCATAATCACTTTATATACAGTATATATATAGCCATATATATAGGTAATCCCCCGTCCAAATAAAGTAATGATTTCTAATTGCAATTAAAAAAAGTTTTTGATTATGTTACCTGAGAAGGACAGTTTATGTTATGAGGGCAATAATGTTGGTCAATGATGAGAGGAAACTTGACATTGAACATAAGAGACTCTAAGAATCGAACCCTCTGAACAAAACCGGATGATGGATTAGCCCATGACTTAATTCTTAATCCATTGTCTGTTCCTACAAAAACTGTCTTCTTCACAGTCACATTTTGTACCCCTTCCTCTTCTCTATCCTTTCCCAAGCTCCCAATGCTACATTTCAGATAAAACCATATTTTTAAAGAATTGTATATGACACACGATTTATATGGATGCAAATAGGTGTATCTCTCATTTATAGAATTAAATAATAAAAACAGCGTATACTTTATATCGTTAGGCAACATAATATTGTAAAAATGATTTCAAATAACACAATAATTTAGAAAGAAACACATGTTCTCCAACGATTAATTAATGACTTTAAATACTTTTAAATCAAACTAGATATTTGAACTTACGAGTATAGCCCAGCCGTGCAGTTATTTTCTGACATATATATATAGGTGTATATGCTCTACTTATTAGTTATTACACATATATGTCACCATCATTGGATGAATATATTCTTCTTTTTTTTCTAGATGAGTGTATATTCACATAGAACTGGAGAATAAATAAAAATATTACGCTAAAACAAAATGTTGAATCACCTGATTCCATGACCAGGGCCACATGTGACTCGTTCGACCCACAAGTTCTTGGTTCCGGGGCCAATGGAGATACAATCGTCACCAGTTTTGATGGAAGCGTTACGAATTTCAACATCAGTTGATAGTTGGACATGAATGCCATCTGTGTTCGGGCTTTTTCCATCCGCCACGATCCGAATATCGTTGATCTTAACATCACGGCATCTGTTGATGACAATGTGGAACATTTGGCTGTTCAATGACAATAATCCCTTCACCCTGATTCTACTTGACTCCACAAAACTCATTGTCTGCATCATTACACTTAAAGGAAATAATTAGAAAGAGATCTAAGGTTTAGATTATTGAGGATATTATAGTTAAGGACTTATATTGTAAATATAATAACCTAGCATCCTCTCTTTGTACTAGTATAAATACTCTGTATAGTCTCTAATAATATTCAACACTTTCCATAACATCTATATGGTATCAGAGCAACGCTCCTAGAAACCTAAAAATCAAGTCCCGCCTCCCACCACCAACATGAGCTCCTCAGCCACCACCAACAATGAAGTGATCTCGCTCAACAACGACAAGAACTCTGTCCTCCACATCAACATGTCCAATGTCACTAAGCTCACCAGCACAAACTACTTGATGTGGAGTTTGCAAGTTCATGCACTGCTAGATGGTATGCTCTCGCAAGCCACCTTGACTCTGCAACTGACATCCCTTCTGCAACAATCACCACAGCTGACGTTGAATATATAATTTAATATATAATTTTGTTAAAAAGTAGTTTAATTATTTTTTATATGATATTGTTAAATTCTCATCACTACTGAAATGATACCTAATGTAAAAATAAAAAGGAAAAACACCATTTCATTAACTTTCAATTGATTTTGAAGAAAAAATCTTAAAGTTTTCAAAATTATTGTATAGCCTAATTGACCTTAATTTTAATCACTTTCTGATTAGTAGTAGTTTTTATATCGCCCTCGTCCCAAAAGACCATGTTAGAATCCGTAATACGAAATATAAACAATATGAATACTCCACATATTTTTAATCGGTTTTTGAATTCCATACATGGGTCAAGTAATTGTTTTTGGTACCCACCAATACAATAGCATATTAGGGATAGTGTACTTTTACAAGTGAACTTATCATACCGTAGCACCAGGTGGACAGCTGTTGTTGGAGGAGGCCTTGCAAGCCCACAACGAAGGTCCCTTAGCGTCGAAAGAACCACCGATAACAGAAACTCCAGTGACTCTTTCAAAGCTGAACCATGTTTCGTCTCGCCCAAGAAAGTTATAGTCCCCCGAACCAACAAGCGTCCCATCGATCCTGAAAACAATATCCAGGCTCTTGCAACTTTCACCGCTGAAACGAACTGGGCTAACAAGATATCGTCCTTTGGGTACGTATATAACCGCAGCATCCGTCGAACTACACGCTGCATCCCATGCCTTGGCAAAAGTTGTAGCTGAATCAACCATACCGTTAGGTTTAGCTCCGAAGCTCAGCACATTGAAGTGTTTTGTCGCGTGAGATAGTATTGGCAAAGACAAGAAGATTGTTGTTGATATAAGTAAATATGCGTAAATAATCGTACATTGGAACGTCTCCATCTTGCTTTTTGGGTTAATGTTTGATGTGACGAAATGAAAAAACTGCTTATTGTGTAAACTGAAGTTGAAAAGGGAATAAAATACTTGATGGCAATGAGTAGGTATAGTAAGGCATATGTATATATATATATACACGGTTTTAATTATTTTATGTTTTGTATTAGAGTGTATTGCGATTATATTCGGATAAGGGGATAAACGGTGTTGCGTTTAAAGCTGATATCAAATAGGGTGACAAAGACACAGCGCGTCTGCATGAATTACTTAAATTACAAACTAGTAACCAGTGTCGTCGCTTGTTATAAGTATATAAATAACGTGTCATCGTTGCTCTTTGTTTTTCATGTTTTGCCTCTTTAAAGTCTTAAAAGATGATAAAAAAATAGTTATTACAATGGTATAGGGAAAGTGGGTTCAAACCTCTTTTTACATTTTTTAACAAGAAAAACGGTGGAATATAGGAAGTTTCAGATAGACTATGTACAACAGTTATGCAGACTAAAACTGTTCATGGCTAATATGATTATTTTACACGAAGAATGCCATAACTTAGCAGTTTAAAACTTAATTGGATATTTCTTCTAAAGGTATTGCCATCAAAGCAATTTAAATGACTTGAGCAGGCGCAGCTTTCTTTTTCCCGAATCAAACTATCATTTTGTTTAGAATTACATTGAATCTTAATAAACCTTCGATTTGAAGATATCAATCGCTTTTTGTCACCTTCATCCTAGGCTAAATTAAATCCACATATATTTGATGACAATAAGCTATCTCATATTAGACAAAAAAAATCAACATATACTTAATAAAGTACATTTATAGATACAATGAATCTACAAATTATGAATATATATATATACACACTATTATTTGATAAGTATATTTGCTCATTTGTCAAATTTTCCATGATTTTAGGTAATTTGCTTATTTATAATATTCTTAATAATTTTATATATAATTTATTATATGATTAAAACAAATTTATACTAATAATATTATATTTTAGAAAATAAGATAATTTTATGTATCATTTTATTATCTTGAAAATATATTTCTATTGTAAAATTTAAGAATTTGCTGCTTTGTCAGTTTTTGCATGACTTTAGGTAATTTTTCTTATTTATTATATTTTTTATAATTCTATACATAATTTATTATATAATTAAAACAAATTTCTATTAATAATCATATATTTTTAGAAAATAAAAAATATATTTTCTATTATAAAATTTTAAAATTAAATAATTTCTTAATAATATTATATTTATGGAAAATAAATAATACTTATGTATTATATTGTCATCTTGCAAATATATTTTATATTATAAAATTTAAGAATTTAATGATTTGTCAACTTTTCTATGATTTTAATTAATTTTGCTTATATGTCATGTTATAAATAATTTTTATATAATTTATTATATATTAATAGTATTATATTTTTATAAAATAAGATATTTCTTATGTATAATCATAATTAAATATAAATCAAGGAAAAATATTTGTATAAATATATATTTTCTTTAACTTTCCTCATATGTGAGTGCTGGCATTTATAGTTAATTTGATGCTTGATTTAATTTATTTGAAAAAATAAATAATAACCATTATACTGATTTTTGAGTTAATAAAATATAAACTAATAAGTATTCATTAATAATTATGCTCGTATGTGCGGGTTAAACACCTAGTATACTATTATTTGCAAAGTGATTTTTTCGTATCCGAGATCTCACATTAAAAGTTAGAGCGTTTAATGTTTATATTACCCTTAATGATATATATATATATATATAATTTATGATATACTCAAAAAAAAAATATTAAAAGTATTAGATTTATATGTTATCTTTAGATAATTGATTAGAAATTAATATAATAGAACTATTAAAAATAGAATCATATTTTCAAAAAATAGGATACTTTTTATATATACTCTGTTGTTATCTGGAAAATAATATTGTAACAACATGATAAGTCTTATATATATATATATATTGTGATTTTATATATAATTAATTTATACTTCTGAAAACAATATTATTCTATTATAAAAAGTTAAAATAAGGTATAAAACAATTTATAGTTAAATGTTAATCGAAAAAAAAATTGTATAAAGATAGTTTGTAAAATATTTTTAATATGTGAGTTTTTTATTTGAATTTGAACACAAAAATAAACATATATATGTTGATGAAAAACTTTATTAAATATAATAATTAGTCATTTGATTTAAATATTGTGAGAACATGATAATAACTTATCATACTGGCTTTTTTTTTATTATTAAGACATAGATTAATAAGTATTCATAAAAATATGCCATTAAGGTATAAACCAATTTATAGTTAAATATTAATCGAACAAAATATTTTTATAAAGATAACTTGTAAAATATTTCTAATACATGAGTGTTTTTTGAATTTGAACACAACAATAAACATAATATATATATATATATATATTAATGAACTTTTTTATTAAATATAAGCAATTGGTCATTTGATTTAAACTCTATGAGAACATGATAATAAATTATTATATTGTTTTTTTATTAATATGACATATACTAATAAAATTACGCCTTTATATAGAGACAAAACACCTAGTGTATATATATGTTTTTTTAAGCTTGAAATAGTGATTTTCTTACACTGAAGCTATGAATTATGAAGCTTTGCACAACCACAAGTAGGGGTGGGCACAAGCCGAATACTTGGTATTTTCGACATACTTGGTTTTCGGCTTAATTTGTACGAGTATTAAGTTTTTTGACTTGTGTTTGGTTTTTTAATACCGAGTACTTGAAGTTTCAAGTACTTGCAAAAAATTGACGGATTTTTAAGTTATTTGCCTTGTTTTATTATTGGTTATTTATAAATTACTTAATAATTTTTGAAATTTAAAAATAATTAATTTTCTTATATAAAAATAATATGTCATTATTTTCATGTATTTTAGTCAATTCGAAAAATAAACTATATAAATGAAAAAATTCTAAGATGTTATATAAATATATTAACTTATGTTTGATGTACTTACAAAGATGAAAATGCAGAAGAGTTATTTTACTATGATTTAAGAAAATGTTTTTTTTTTCATTAATATAGATGAGTAACAAACCAATGTAACACCAAGTAATTATTGTTTTTTGAATATTTGATATTTGTTTTGTACTTTTTTTGTTAAGGCTTTCATTAAATTTAAAATGCAAGAAATAGAAATATATAGTCCAGAAGCTAGTTTGTGAGCAAGACCTAGTTTAAAAAAAGAGTAAACCCATTAGATAGTATACCCATTATGAAAAAGCAGAAAGCCAGTGGATAAGAGAAGATTCATCGATCAGTTGGCTTAAGGAAGAGAGTTTACTCTGTCGCATGAAAAGATCCAACACTAGAAGAGAGAAGATGATAAGGCTGGATTATTTTCCCGGTAAGAAGGGATCTCGACTTTGTCTGCCTATCGATGGACGTAAGGAGAGTGGCTGGCGATCTCGAAGTGTTGCGGTAAAGTCGAGAATTTCTCTCCATCCAAATCCAATAGATAACTTCTTGCCAAGAGAGAAGTAAGAGACGTTTTCTGCTTCGATCATCCGTTAGATAATGCATCTACTTCAAGTTGTCATTCCAGGCTCTCTAAGGGATTAATTCAAATCGAGTTGTGATGGCGAACCATATCTCAAAAGAGTAGTCACATAGGAAGTAGACATGGTCTCAGCTTTCTTCGGATTTGGCACATAGCAGACAAGAGGCGTCATTTTTCAAACCCCTGGAGCTCAGTCTATCTCTGGTTGGGCACCGATTCAGTTACTAGCCATGCCATAAAAATATGTTTCAGTACCCCTCTAGTGATCCACGGTAAAATGTCTAGTTCCCCTCTAAGTTTTTGATAAACCGGGCCAGTAGAATAGCTATCGCTATGTCTTCCTTCAATAACCCACTCGTAATGATCATCTTCCTTAGTGAGGTTAATGTTCAATAAAAAGGGGATAACACTTACTTGATTTTTGGATCGAGCAGGAGGTATAAGCCATGTTCTGTTGTCCTAAAGAGAAGCCAAAGTAGCCTTCTTCCTAATACCCAGTCATGTGTTTCTCCCCTCTAGTATGAAGTCATGTATTCGCCCTTGAGGGAACCAGTTATCTGTCCAAAATCTATAATTCCTGCCATTCCCAATCTTCATTTGAATCCAGGTAAACATCGAATCCCTCATTTTAACGATCTTGTTAGTTAGCCAGGAAAAAACCAGAGCTTGGCTTGATAGTCTAGAAGTTGCTTAGGTTATCGGATAGGACAGTAGTCTTGAACCATGCCACCCAAATAGAATTCACTTGGAAGAATAGCATCCAAATAAGTTTAAGTGTACAAGCTCTGTTCCATACAAATAGATCCTTTCTCCTAGTCCACCATGTTTCTTCTCCTTATTAACTTCTTCCCATGCTGCTCGGGCTGTGTGGTGACTCTCAATGTCTCCCTTCCAAAGAAAAACTCCACATAGAGAATTTATTCATTTGATAAAAGCTTTTGGAAGGATGAACGAGGAACGCTAGAAGGTGTTTATCCCAGCAATCACAGTTTTAATCAAAAGAAAACGACCTATAAATGAAAGGGCTTTAGCACTCCAGAAGAAGAGTTTGGCCTTTATTTGCTGTATCATTCCTTCACAGTTTGAGAGCGACGGATTCGTGGAACTGAGTGGTACTCCAAGATATCTAACTGGAAGAGAGGAGATATGCATTCCAGTGGAGGCTTGCATAGTATCAATTTCGCATTGACTCAATCCCGAGGCAAAAAACGTAGACTTCTGCATACTCACTGCTAAACCGGAACAAAGTTCAAACTCGTTCAAAACCTGCAAAACAGTCTGAAGCGAAGAGAGTGAGCCATCAATAAAAGTTAAGAGGCCATCTGTAAAGCTTAAATGAGTGAGCTTGGCATTGTGGCACTTCTGGTGGTAGTTGATCTTGAAATCCTCAGCCGCCTTTTTAAGCATATGAG